AACTTCCATAGGAAACAGGACATAAACATGGGCGGATTGCACGCACACGCACACACGCACGCACACACACACACACACACACACACACACACCCTGAAGAGTGATGGAATGGGTGAACATCTGCTGGCACAGTGGGGAATGAAGGAACAAGAAACTTTCCCTGTGTCTCACACCGAAACAACTGATTAGGCCCTCTAAACGACGGACCCTCTGCCAATGTTGAAATAGTGCAGTCCCTCCATCTCCACGCTTCTGAGCCGAGCTCCAGCAGGTGTTGTAAGGACTTGAATCATTAACCTCAGGCTGACAGACAAGACTGAGCCCACCAGGCTCAGAAAAGTATTTCACTTCAGCAGCTCCCCACCACTCCAGTGAGTCTGCAACTTCACACACTGGGAGCTGCAAAATGGATCCATTTATTTCAACTGCAGGTTAGAGGTTGGTAAGACTGATTTTTCCATACTTCTACCACAGTATTTTAGTCTATGTTCTGGACTTAAAAGGATTTTCTTCCCACACACTCTAAGCACCATTCCTGCAATCCCACATTATTAGAGCTTTCATATTTTCTCAATAATGTCAAAATAAGAAAAAATAATGGTATATAGGCCTTTTGTGTGTGTGTGTGTGTGTGTGTGTGTGTATCATAAAATCATCATCCACCTTAAACAATAAAAATACATTCTGCATATGTGCTTTACAGAAGAAAAATAAATTAATAAAGGGTTGGAATGATATCAGCAGAGAAAATGATCTTAGTAATTTGAGTGATCTATTCTTTTAATGCAGCCATATGTGTAAACACACAAGGGTAGAAAACAGTTTACAAGCACACAAACTATCAACTCTCCACCCAGTCTTATCTACAATCTGTTCAGCATCTTCTCATTTTCCCTCTCCCTTCTATCATTCTTGTTCAATCAGCGCTCTCACCTTCTCTGTGGTCAGCGGTCAGACAGAGAGAGAGAGAGGTAACACTCATCTGAGCCCTTGAAATAAAGACATGGGACTCCAGTCTAGATCGATAGCCTGTTAGTGACCACTGTGACTTTCATGTCATGCAATCATCGGACAGATTGTCAAGGAATAGGGAGTCTGTGATAGACTAGATCTGCCTGGGATACCAGGGAAACACGGGCGGTGTGAAATTCAGCACTGTATACACACATCCGTACAGCCACACAAAAGGAGGAAAGCATAATGTTAGCACCGTGTTTGAAGCGCTGATACAAAGCCTCACCGCATAATATATATCAAAGACAAATATTAGACTGAGAGATTTGCTTCAACTGACATGAGTTTCTGAAAGACAAGCTTTTCTATTGACTTAAATTAACTCTGAGAAATTGAAAGGAATTGATAGTTCGTCCAAAAAAAATTTTTTTTTTCATCATTTACTCACTCACTTCTGAACATGTATGTCTTTTCATCATGTGAAATACAAAAGGTTAATTTTTGAAGAAAAACCATGGTCACTATTTTAAATATAGTGAAAGTGAATGAAGACTTGTGGGTCGAATCTCTAACATAACAATAAAAGCAGCATAGAAGTATCATAAAAGTGGTCCAAAAGTCTTGTGTGTTCTATTCAAGGTCTTCTAAAGCCATACAATAACTTTGGAGAATTTTAAGTCATGATTTAGTGATTATCTTCGTCTCATTGAGTTGAACTCAAAAACTAAATAATTTAGACTGGTTTTCTGAACTGGATCAAATGTAGTGTTGTAGTCCAAGACATATTTTCATGGTCTCAACTACAACACTTATCAAGTGATTCACTGAATAAATGATTCAAAAGAATCATTTGATTACAAATCAGAGATGTCTACTTTCATATTAAACTCTAATGAATACACACCAAGGAAAGAAAGGAGGATTTTCAGTAAAAAAAAAAGAAAAAGCCATAACCACAAAAAGCCATTTTACGGATTCTTTTTGAATAAAAAAGAACAGAATTTATGTAAAACAATTCTTTTTTTAACATTATGAATGTCCTTACTGTCACTTTAATCAAATTAATGCATTCTTGTTGAATAAAAACATTAATTTATTTTAAAAAAAATAATTAAAAATATTCGCTATAGAATATTATATTTAATATAATTTTCTAGTGAATATTTTTCATTTAACTTCTACACAAATGTGTTTTTTTTTCTTCTTTGTAATAACGTACACGCATCATTATTGCACAATACTCTAGGATGGAAACTTTGAAAACTATTGATACCTTTATTTTGATATTTAGTATTTTTACACAACTGGAATGTTTGGTTGATTTATTTTGTAATAATGACTGACTATATATCTCTCTGAATAGAGAATTTTCTTTTTTGGTGAACTACCCTTTAGCAGTGCTTAAAAATAAGGCAACTTCTCCCACCTGATTCAAGTGAACTCAGTTGAACCAGTAAACAGAGAAAGATAATGCGGGAAGTGACCTCAAAGCAAACATTATTTTGGGCATTTGACATTTATTGAAATAAGCCTCTGGTCTGCATCTGAAATGTCTACGTCTCAATGCAAATAACAACTCTGAAATATGACACATAGCTGCAGTCACTGTAACCTTTTCAAAACCTCGGCAAACAATGATTAATAACTTATTACGAGTATGAAATCAAAACGTTATCGATCTTAAGTTAAACTTGGATTTGCATATATACTCAGATTGATGTCTGAGCTGTGCCATTCTTATATGTTATTTGCACTTTGCTGTGGGGTTCACCTGTCTTGATATCCTCTCCATTGCAAACGAAGCCACTTGCATTTCTCTGGCCTCACAATCTAGCTTTCCTCACGATCACAGGAAGCAATTTAGCCTAAAATCAACATCTCTCACACTCCCCAATTCCCTCATGCGAGACAGACAGAGAGAGACAGAGAGAGAGAGAGAGAGAGAGAGAGAGAGAGAGTGAATTGGGGATGGTGGTGATGACAGGAAGACCTGTTCAGAGTCAACAGTGCTGGATATACATATGCTGAAATGAGCACATCTCATCCAGACCTTGTTGACTAAATTATATGTGAAGAGAAAATAAGGAGGAAAGAAATAGATAAAAATAGAGTGATGCTAGCATACTGTATACTGTGTATATTACAGTATGCAATATCAGGAATGCATTAATTTGGTCAAAACAAAGAACGGACATTCATAAAGTCAATGTTGTTTGTAATTCATAAAAAACCCCAGCATTTATTTGAAACATATTTGATAAAATTACAAATGTGAACTTACCAACTCCAAACTTTTGAAAATGTAAAGATTTTTTTTTCTTCTGTAATGAAATTGTTAGCCTCAATAATTGACTGCAAACTCCATCTGAACCAATACATTAATTGCCATCCTACTTTTATTTTCTTGTATTGTATTTCACTCAGAAACATTATAGACGTAAAATGGGTTGTAAATGCTGTTTCATGTTGACTTTTAGCAGTCTAGTCAAATAACGATTCAAGAAAGAGATGTTAAAAAGAATAAATAAATAAATGCTGTAGCAAACCATTCTCACTGAAAATGGTAGTTCAAACACACTATATATTAAGGTATACAGTGCAGTGTGCGCTGTTTGCTGTGTACTGCACAATTTGTCAAATGTGGGTCATTTGAGTCTTGCATTGCGTGCACATTTGCATACTGCATCCCACATACAGTATGCACACTGCAAAAATAATAAGAGTAGCATGCTTGTACGCTATTCCAAACACAACATTCAGCCTTTACCGATTCCCCCTTAAAAGCATGTATGAATATGAATTTGCACAGTATGAAATCACATATTGAAAAGCTGTATATATGGGCACTTCTGAACTGTGTTTTGATTGGCTTGTTTAATTTAATGGATCTGTCATCTCTCAAATGCCACATCCAACCTCCTTCTACAGACAAACAAACATTCCAAAAGAGAGTGAGAGAAAAAGAGAAGGGGAACATTTCTTCTTCTAATACCTCTGAGTATCCCTGTCAGATGATTTGACATTGAGAAGTGAATCATTCAGAGGTTCATTAAACGTTGTTTATGCCAAGTGAGAGAAATGACTATACTACCCAGAGAGCACTAATGCAAAGACTGTGTTCTCTGACCTGCAGAAGCGTGTAATTTCCTGTGGCGAGAGAATAATCCGTGGCCACGCCACCTCAGCCGTTTTAGGCACGGCTGATGACTTGCATAAAGAACAATCGCTTTGTATTTGCAATGTCTATGCCAATTATTAGCACAGGAAGCTAGCCGCTCCATTGGCCGGCCTTCTTTTAGGCACATCATAACATTTTCCACAGTGAAATGTGTCAGTGATACAAGTAACATCAGGCCACTTGATCTGACATCTCAGAAACATGCCGAGACCTTGCTTTTGACAATGCTATTTCATTGTACAAAGCATTGTTGAAGGGAAAATCTCACCAAAGACTTGGTCAGATTGTGTTTCTTCACAAAAACAAAAGAAAAAGCAAGAGTAGATTTATTATGAAGTCTATTTTTTTTATCACATTTCCCCAAAATGAAACCCAATTGTGAACTGTAATGTACCTAGACATTTTAATATATTTACAATTCTTAATGATGATTGTAATTAATTAAATTCTCATATATATATATATATATGTGTGTGTGTGTGTGTGTGTGTAGAAATTACAAAGATAATTACAAACAATAATTACAAAGACATGGCAAGTAACACATAACGACTTTGAAAAATGACTATATGAATCCCAAGTAAAGGAAAAACACTGCAACAAACTTATTTATTTATTTTACAAAAACATATTTGATTTACTTTATGCAAATTATAATGTATTATTTTCCTTTAGATTTTAGGGTTGTATATGACCCAGCATGTTCTTGATAGGCTCTTTGACCGTCATCTCCCACTAAATGTCAGAAAGTAAACATAGTGATGAGTGACTAAATCACATCTCACATTACCTCACATCAGAAGTTATTACATCACATTTGACCTCAGTGGATAACGTCCCATGCAAAAAAAATAAATAAATGTCCTACCGCTATCTGTAGCCATGAAGAGAGCGGTGTACTGGTTGTTGTGAACGTGTGGAGACTCGCGGTCCAGTATGGCTCTGGTGGTGACGTTGCCTTTGAAGGGGTTCACGATCAGCCAGTCTGCTGGGTCTCTCAATACAGTGAACCTGAAAGGCACACATGACCATTAACAGTTACACATGTAGCTTTTAGAATGAGTCTTGCTTTTAAAGTTCACCAAAATGCATTTCAAAATCTCTCTGTTTATTTGACCACTTTTTACAGGGACAATCCCCTCAGACTAACTGAGTGTCTTGATTAAGAACACAATGCTGATAGTTCATGGATTACATCCTTTTGGTTCCCAGAGCAGATTTTTAACCATTAAGCAACATGACCTCAAGCATTAGCACTACAGAGTGGTGATGGGTTATCAAGAAGGTCAGTTGAAAGTGAAATAAGAAGAAATGGAGCAAGAAGAGCCCCTGAAACATGTAGGAGTGATAAATGACCTGCAGCAACACCTCTAAGAGTAATGAGCTGTTTTGTAATTGGGTAACCATGTGATGATATCTCACGCATGACCTCCAGAACACCTAAGCATGTGTGTATGTATGACTGGATAAACACAGTTGCAGTAGTGCTGAAATCTGGAATTGAGTCGCTGATTTACAGGCTAAATTAAAAAACAAACACACAAAATGAAATGCCAAGTTCTCCGGCTCTACTGCTTTTAGGAAACCCATAAAGACCCTTTCAAACCAGAGAAGGGGGATTTTATTTTTTCTGAAACCTCTTGCTGACTCAGATACCTTTCCCAAAAGAACATAAACATTCACACAACCAATTATGACCCCCCCCCCCTTCTTAAGGGTTTCAAAAAAACTGCAGTTCTCACTAAAGCAAAAACAGAACTGGAAAATGAAGACAGAGTGGACTTTATGTGTCAGTCTATACCACATGATTCTTCCTATAATAACACGTTTAGTAAGTTTATATTCAAGACAAACTTACTATTTGATTAAGATTTGTAAAATATGCATGTACTGTACAACATTTTAAACATACACTACAGTTAAAAAAGTTTAGGGTTGGTAAGATTTTTTTAAAAGAAGTATCTTTATATATATATATATATATATATATATTTAGCAGCCATTATTCCACTCTTCAGTGTCACATGATCCTTCAGAAATGATTATCATTTGCTGATTTGGTGTAAAGTAACATTCTCAAATCCTACCGCCTAATATTTTATGTGGAACCCATAATATATTTTTCCTTTCAAAATTCTTTGATGAATAGAAAATTCTCCTTAAGCAGCAGTATATTTACATGATTTTTAAACTAACTTAAAAAACATTTTAACACAAATATACTGTATTCTTTTTTCTTTTTTGATAGCTGTGCATTTTGACACCAGTTGAGACCCAAAATAGGATAGCTTTTACAGTAGCTCCATTGTACCCCATTGCACTCCCTTCCGACAGCAAAATAGCATCTTTCACAAAGCAATTCTAGCTTATCAGCATTCTATCACATCTCAGGGAAATGTTCTCTGATTCACGCAGGCAAGCCCTCAGAAACAAGCTAGCATGAGATTATCATCACGCTGCTCTGGGTAAACATATCCTCACATCCTGACTCAGATGTGCAAGAGAATAGTTTGTAATTCTCCTGTAAAATCAGCTGGCATTTGTTAGAAAACTCTCTTCCAGCCTGGAGTGTGACACAAAGGCTGTAAATGCAGTCAATGGCTTTATGTCTGACAAAGTGCAATTTACTAGCACACATACTGTACAAGTACGCAAAGCCCAAATATTAGAATAGCGTGGCTTTTTATATATATATATAGCCTACTATAATAATAATCTTCAGGTGATTTTTTTTGTAACATCCGTGTTTTCAATGCCTTTGACTATAAATGTTCAGGTGATCTATTAACACACACACACACACACACACACACACACACACACAAGTCAAGGCCTTTTTTATTATTTTTTGCATGTGTTGTCTGCTGTTCAGCCTCACAGCACTGACAACCCTCCATTTCTTTTCGACAGCACACTATGAAAGACTTAGATTAACTTGCAATTCATACTGACACAAAACAAATGGATATTTCATTTCTTGAATCCGTTTATCAGACCTTCTACAAAGCCATTAATCAGACAGCCTTAAAGTTTGCAAAGGGGGCGTGGCCTAGATGCTTGATCATACGTATTGTACAAAAATCTTTCATTAACAATGCTTTTTTTTCTAATCTACACACAGCGCTTCTCTCAATTAGCCTCCTCTCAATGTCATTAGCGTGTCATTAAAAACACATTATGCAAATTAATATGTTATCTATAACGATACGTGCTAATGACCATAAATAAGCTGTCAAAGACTTTTCACCCGTAATCAAAACTTTGGCTGATGTAGACGTTTTCATTTCCACACATTGTCACACTATGACACAAATTACAACAACACAACTAAGGGTACAACAAAGTCCTTGCCTTTTTGGCCAAAGTTGTCTGTAGTATTCTGCTTACACTAGAAACGAAGCAGAAAAAAAAAATGATTTACCAGCATGTCTAAAGGAGAATCTGGGTCGGACCTTCTCTAGTCCCAAAGTCCACAGCGAAAGGATAAAAGACTCAAAAGTTTCATCAGAATCCAATTTAGTCAGTAAGAAAGTAAGTTTGTGAGTGTGTGGCCGGTCTTGAGCTTAGCTCGGTCATTAATCCTGATGCAGAGCATCATGGGTCTCTTGCATTTTGCACTGAGATATTTTTTTGGCTACAGTATCAGGGCTCCAGTCTCTGACATCAATTGTTTCAGACACATGCTGGAAAAGCATGCAGAAATAACTACCCACTTAAAATTGCATTTGTGTGCGTGTGTGCAGTGTTAATCTCATCAACAATATTGCTAAAGAAAATGCTCGTTAATAAAAGATCTTATTAAAGATAGACAGAAAATGAGCATCGTAATGTTAATTCAGGGTTTGCAAATCCCTGGGAGTTTGTAAGGGAACTGCAGGGAGTTTGTGAGTTTATGAAAAGCTAATAAATAAAAACAGTTAAAATGTAACACTACTGAAAAGATTAAATATTTTAGTTGTTTACATGCATGTTGTGACTGTAGTGAACATGCAAATGTGTAGTTAAGTCATTTAAATATTAAAGAGATAGTTCACCCAAAAATGAAAATTCTGTCATCATTTACTCACCCTTATGTTGTTCCTATAAAATGACATGAAGGGAGTAAATAATGACAGAATTTTCATTTTGGGTTGAACTATCCTTTTAACTTATAATCTCAGGGGTACTTCAAGTAAATATTTTAGAGGTTCAATGGGGTCCAGCTGACAAAAAAGTCTGGGAATGCCTGTAATAATTAAATGTTTTTTAATTAAAATATACTGTTTACAAACACATGATGAGGAAAAAAAGACATTAACAATGTAATAATGATTAGTACAACGACTAATGCGCAATGCTTTAGAAAGAATTTGACAGTATTATTTAAAACACTCATATTTATATTATAAGGATATTTTTGTGGATTCAAATTATGCCATTTAAGTCAGAATAAAACAAAAATGACATGAAATGTTCGCTAAAATTAATATTTTCATCCAAAAGAAAAAAAATGGCCGCATATGTGTTTAGCATGTGACTTGACGCATGTTTAACAATTCATTAGATGTCCATGCACAACCTTGTGCTAATGTTCCTTAAAGCTGAGGCCGGTTGCATAAACTTAGCCACTATGAAGAACTAGTCTGACCAACTAGCATTTATTCAAGCGGTAATCAATCTTACTTTTTGGAATCAAAAAGTTTTTATCATTTTATGCAACCGGCTGCTTTTCCTAATGACAAAACCAAAAACCTCTATTTCAGCCACAAGTGCACAATAGCAACTGCTCACAAAACATACAAGCTCACTTCACCAGGTTAGGACATTGGCCTTCAACCCACAAAGAAAAAAACAAAACACCAATTCTTCTTCACCACAATCTAAAATGTAAGAAATGCCTCTCCTTGAGCCACTTTTTCATATACTTTTTACTTCTTACACCCTTTCATGATGTGTCAGGCCTGGAGAGGGCCCGTGGTGCGGTGCATATTTATGCTTCTGTATCACTGCGAGGGCACGGAGGCCAGAGGGGCTTTTCTCCACGTTACCTTCTAATAGAAAACAGGGGAAAGCAGCAAACAGCTTCTCTGCTGCAGGAGGGTCATTTTGGCATCTTTGTACATAAATTGTGCTCCTTTTATTCCTGGTCTGTGCTCAGGAGTGGATCTATGTGAGGAGAAACCAATGTTGCCTCACACATTGAACTGTGGACTGTGTAAACCAACAATTTCTCTAATAAAGATCCATGTTACATAGAAGCAAATAATAAAAGGTGGATTTAAAGTGCACAACGTCTGTGCCACTAACAGCATTAAATGAAATTGTAATACATAAGCAAATAAAGAGAACACACACACATATTCTTGAGCTTTTTTTGTGCTGAAACTTTAGACTTGATGTGAAACCTTGTTCAAATATTAATGTGTGCTCTCTTTTTACTGTTCCGTTGAGCTGAGTTTCATGCTATAGCCCAAAAAAACAGGCCTCTTTATCAGAAAACATACATCTGCAGGGACGAGCAAGTGACACACTTACGCTAATGCTGACCGTCCTGTGTTTGTAAAATAGGATGGATGCACACATTAGGATATTACTTTTAGCCATTGAAATTCGATTGCAGTGTGGTTTGGAACTGGACATCTCTTTCTGAGTGAAGATATAATAAAAATGAGGGCGAAAGACAAAGAAAATGGCCTTTCCCAAACTCAGCATCATACTCGTTCTAAGTTCATCTCTCTGTGGGATTCATTCCCACTAGCTAAACTGAACTCAACTCCCACATGTGCATCCGCCGGACCCCAGATCAGTGCGTGAAGATGCAGAGGTTGATGAAAAACAGCTGTGCCATAAACTCTCCCTCCGCTCTCATGTCTGCGACAAATTGCCGTTGTCACCCCTGCAGATATTTCGGTTTCATATTGGCAGAAAGAGCTGTACAAAGGAAATAAATGTGACAGGGAGGCAGGAAAATATAAACGGGGGAGACGGCCCATCAATCAGCCATGGTCAGACTCAGAGGGAATCAGACCCCT